TGGCGCACGTGGTTCTGTGGGGACCCGGCCTGCTTCTGCCGCGGCTGGTGTCTCAGCGGAGCTCGGCCCTCCCCCGGCCCGCGGCCTGCTCCCCCTGTAGAACCTCCTGCTCTGCGGGCTCTGAACCTTCATTCATTCATTCGCTCGCTCGGAGTTGATCGTAGGAAGGGGTGGGTGCTAACGACGTGTGGCGGGCAAAAGGGACGAGGCCCTTTACAGACCCGCGTTTCAGGCAGTAACAAGTACGGGGCGTCGCACTCAGGCTCATTTACTTATCACTGCTTTTTTTTTTTCTTTTGCACTTGAAGTATTTTTGCATCCACACTTTATGTACTCTGAACCCTTTCTGCATACTCTACATCCAAGAATTCCTGTACATCATTGCCTCAAGTGTAGACACCACATCCTGTGATTTATGGGCTGTGTTTGCAGGGTAATCTGGACCCTAAGTCAATTGCTGACCCACTTGTAGAATTAAAATCACACGGGCGCGCGCGAATATTTACAAACGTGAAAGTAAAAACAGCGACAGAGAACTGATTGAGAGATTCGGGCTGACACTCGCGGTGATGGTTGGAAGAAGGGCTCATCCTAGCCTGGGTTCTGGAAGGCAGCGATTTGAAGAATGAATGCGGCCAGGGGATCTGTTAGGGCCAAATCCAAAGCAAGGCACTGGCTCTGCAGCCCTGCAGAGGCGGGCCAGGGTGCGCCGGGCTCCTGGAGCTCTGGTCTTTGCCGCTCCACCACGAAGCTGCCTTGTTTGGCCAGACTGTGGTGGGCGTGCGGCAAGTGGTACCCAGCGCAGACCTGGCGAGGTGGACCAGCGCGGCAGGGGTGCTGGGGGCTGCCCCATACCTTCCTCCCCCGCCGGCCGGAATCTGGGCTCCCGGAGGGCAGGTTCTCTGGTTCTCTGCGCTCCCCTAAGGTGTGCTCTACTCAAGCCGGTCCTGAAATCCCCAACAGCCACGCCAGTTTGCTTCTCCATCTCCTTTGTTTCTTCTCGAGACTAGATGAGAAACCCCATCTCCTACCTCTGCCTTCATTCTGAGGCCTATTGGTCACTAGGTGGGCAGAAAGGAAAGGGCGGCACAGCTGCCGAAGAGGCAGCAGTTTTACTTTAAATGAAAATCACAAGAAAATATTTTTCCAACTCCTGTCTTTTTTGAGACATCACCAGAAAGCACTGCCAGATGTGATTACATCTAATGTGAGAGCATGAACTAATTTAAGAGGTGAGAGCTGAATAATGAACCTACCTCCAGTGGAGCTGCCAAGAGTGGCATCTCTCCCCGTGGAAGGCACCCGGAAAAACCCCGTGTAGAACTAACCTCATACTCTTACAAAATGTTTACCGAGTGCCAGCCATGTCTGCCCGCTTGCAACCAAAGAGCAAACCTGGAACCTGTTTTCTCAGAGAACACACAGCAGGGTTGAGATCACCTCCAGGGAGGTGATTGCCTCCTGATCTTCTCGTTGTGGTAAGGTGAAGCTCAGCCCTGAGCTTCGTTCTGTATACCAGCGACCCTCCATCTTGTATCCCCACCTGAGCCTTTTTCTGAGCCAGACCTGTCATCTTGTGGGCCTATTGGATCTTTTTTGCTTATATTTCTTTGTGGTACTATTAACTTTCCAGATCCTTCTTTTCCTATCCCAGTGACAATGGCTGTGGCCACCTAGATGTGCAGTCTAAGGGCCCCCACACCTAACCTGATTGTATATGTCCTTTTGTTTGAGCCATTCTCTTTGGACTGTTAGGGGCTTGTTATCTCCACCTGGGCAACTTACAGCAGCTTCCTAATGTATCCAGGGGTTAGTGAAGGATTGCCTGTCTGATACTGTTTATTCTTTCATTTGATGAATAGCCATCAAAGCCCTGAAATGTGTAACCTCCACTTTTCCCCATGTAAGGGAAATTTCAAATCTGTCATATACCTCAGATTCTCCTATCCCTTTTTCATGTAGCATGTATTCAAAAAATAATGAAAAATAATTTAGTGTTAATAATCCCGAATTGTGAGGACTAAAGAAAATTATGTACATGAAAAGTAAAATCCATTAGAAACTTCAAAAGCAATCATGTTTATTTTTAGGCTTATGTTTTGGAGTCAGAATCATTTTAGCTGCAAGTGACAACACCAATCCAAACTGGCTTAAGGATTTCATTTGGTTGATGCATAAAGCCTTGGGTAGGTGTTGCCATTTAAGGCATGATTGGCCCTGTCAGTCAAGGTTACCAGGATCTCTTTCCATTTTTGGCATCATTTTCACACAAGTGAGTCCCTTAGAGGTATTACTAAGTCCTAGCAAGAAAAAGAAAGCACTGCACATGTTTTGGGATAGGACTCTCCAAAGAAAATTAGGGAAGGGATGCTGGGCGGGCAGAAACCATGATGTCTACCTTAGTCCTTCTTACAGGTTTAACTGCAGTACATTCCACACGGTAAGAATGGTGATGAGGATGACAGAGGAACAGAAGCAATAGATAAGTGTGTGGCTGTGATCTTCAAAGCCTCAGCTAAGTAAGACCTCAGCTAAATAGGAAGTCAGGTCTATCAACCGCATGTTATTTGAGGTTCTCTTTGAAGTCAGATGTACCTGATTGGGTAAGGCCAGATGAGTCTAAATCAATGGTCATAACATTTTATTCTAAAAGAATTTTTGTCAATATTCTATTGGAATTATATTTGGTCTTACTATTTTTAAGTTCTTAGGAAGGTGAAATTTTCAATTCTTTCTGGACATATACCTAAAATTCCTCATTATTCATCAATTAATGAAAATTTGAGAGAGTCTAAAAAGTAAAAGGTAGATTCGGAAATGTATTGACTGTAGAGCTTAACTTTCTAAATCTTTTCAAGTGTTGAAATACTGGTAAAGTATTAAAAAGCCGCTTCTCTGAAGCTTTTAAAGTAACAAAGATTTAGAAAACGACAAGCTCACAAATAATGAATATATGCCATTACTATTATATCTTTTCCTTTTGGCGTTAAATGTGGTATGACATTTTGGTGAAGTCAGAGGTTTATTTCCTGTCCGAACTCTGAATTTCCCACCACAGTGCCTTCTGAGAAATGCACGCAGCTGCAGTCTCCATGGATCTTATTCATGGTTCCCGGCTAACCTCCCACTCTCACCTCAGGAAAACGTGGCAACCTTCATGGGAATGAGAGCATTTTCAGAAAAGGGGGAATATTTTCTCAAAGGATGTGAAAGAAACTCATCCTTTTAATAAATCAAAATGGATTCGCTAATGTTTATCCACATCAAATAGGATTTTATCTCTTTCGTCTTGTTCAAAGGCCCAGACAGTGCCATTCCCTAGGGCTTGGTTCATTTGCTCTTAAAGCAGAAGAGACAGTCCACTTTGTTCTGAAGATTGTTAAATTTAGGATATCAAGGGTCAAAGTCATTTCAGGTTAATGCCTAAAGCTCTGCTATTAAGTACAGAATTGATTCTAAGTTGTACAAAGTGTGAAATACAGTAATATTTTAACTCTGACCAAAACCTTTACCTTAGTGGGTCTGTCTTTTTACCTATTCAGATGCATATTAAATGCAGCATTTTTGCTGTTTAAATTTTAAAAGTTATGTTTAAAAATTAACCTTGTAATTGAACATTTTTGTTAATGCAGGAAAAAGGCAGGTTACTTTTTAATGAAGGCCAGGTTTGTGTTAACATTTTGATTCTGTTAAAATTTTTTTCTTTTGATCTTAAAAAATAAAAGAACACATTTAAAATGCCTTTAGTTCTTATGTTAACACCAAATTATGTGTTTTCTTAGTCTCTTCAGAAGGAGATACTGTCTTCTCAGTTAAAAGATGCTGATACCATTTTCAAAATGATGCCTTGAATGTGCTGTAGTGTGTGCAGGTAGGAATTTTGTGTGAAGCTCTTATTCAGTAGAAGGCATTAAGGTCAAAGGAAAAAAAATTTAAAAGTGTATGTCTACAGAACTGCACGTGAGAGAAAAACAGATAATGTCACATACTAGTTGGAATTTTTCCAAAAAGTGATTATCTCTGTGCTGTTTAGGATGATTGGCTATAGGGACAAACCAAGGTTTAGTCAATTCACCAAACATTTGTGGGGTACCAGAGTATGCAAGACCCCAGACTTCATGGGTAGAAGAACCTCCACTTACACCTCTTCCTTTTGTTTTCTTTTCAAGAAGCCCTCTTGAAAGTGTTATCTTTGATTATTCTTTGTATTTGTGAACCTTTATCTTATCAGAAGATAGACAAAATTTACACATACATATAAAATTAATAGACTAGGGAGCATTCAAACAAATAGTTCAGGTATGTAATTCAAATGCATTTGACATTCATCAAACAAATGCTAGGTGTTATCAACTGGGTAGCTGGATTAACATTTGGGGAAAATGATCACCAATTTTAATAGGAATCTCAGGGAAATTTCCTGTGTCTCATATTCATTGATGATTGTATAAAGATTTCCTACAGTTCAGAAATCTCTTAGAATGGGATCTTAGAGAAAAGACTGCCAACTAGAGGATTTGTTCAACCATGTCACCAGGAGGACAATGAAAGAAAAAACTTTAAATACAGTTTGAAGGGAAAAAAATACAGAAAAATAAGAGGTGGCAAGTTGTAGTTTTAAAATTCTTTTAAGGAGAAAAATCTCCAAATGATATTTTCTAGTAGACTTCCAGAAATTATCAGAGAAGCATCGTTGGCCTTTGCACTCCACATCAGGCCTCAGTGACAGACCACTAAACAGCATGCTGCTAACCTCTGAGCCTTTCTACCGCCTCTTCTTGCTCCTGCCCTGGCTTCCAGTTGGATCTGGCCAGGGGAACATACCAGCAAGAGATCAGAGGAAGGAGGAAAAAAAGGTCCTGTTTGTCCCTATTTCAGCCAGGTAGTGTGGTGAAATGACCCCTCAGAAATCCCTGGTTATGGTTTGCGCCTTTCAGTATTCTGTCCTCTACCCAGCCGCCCTACTTCTCCTGAGCTGCAGCTCACACTTCAGCAATACTGTTTCCTCCCTTTCTTTCTTCTTTCCTGAGAGAGAGTAGGAGGCTTGCCAGTCTGTGGCTTCTCAGCATCTTACATTGTGCTCTCTGAGCCTGCCAACACTTTTTCCTTAAAATTTCTCCCTTTGAACTGATTTAATTCTGTTTCCTCTTGGGAGCTCACAGATACAATATATCAGTAGAATATTTTACTTAACCTTCAGAACCAGTATTTTTGATACATTTTATCTTTACCAGAGAACCATTAGTTTTTAAATCATTAGTTGTATCATAGAAAAAAATTCACTATGAATTAAACCCTGATTTATTATCAATTTGGATTATTACCTGACATCACCAAAGTTATATATTTCAAACAAATCTACACAAATTTTAAGAATTACCTACAAATAAATGAAATTTATATATGCAGTTTTAAGAATATTAAAGTTAAATATTAGAAGTATTCTTAAAGTAACAGGTGCTAAATTTCCAAGTAAATTTCATCCTAGACTCTTGCAACACAAAATGTGTTACTATCTTGAGAAATAGCATATTCTGTGAATTCATAAACCCATTTTGAGTATTAAAATATGAAAACCTTACCAGAATGTGTTTTATTATTGGGAAAGCATGACAACTCCTGCTAGCCTTTGTTTAAGCTTGTAAACTTTAATCTGTGCATGTTCTAAACAAAGAACAGTTTCTTATTGTTATTACATAAAATATGTGATGGTTTAGATTTTAAAATAACAGATTGGAAGCAAGTAACAATAAAGTATATCTCACTGTTTAGATACTTGTAAGCAAATCCTTTTAGTCACTCATTTAATGTAACTATCCTCTTTATACCTGTTGCCCAGTATTGTTTGAGGTCCTTAACAAAGTAGTACTAAAGGCAACATAAGGCAATTAGAAAGCGATCTTTAACAAATAAGCCATCAATACAGAGTGATAAAACCTAGGAAAAAATCAATTAAAATATCTACTCAATCATAGTGTTTCCTGGTCTAGAAGAACGGGTTAGGTGAATTCCTGTTTGATTGTTGTGGTAACATACTGTATATTGTAACAATTTTAAGTAAGTATAGATGCACCAGAATTTATCTATGGCTTTGTCACCATGTTATACAATACCTCACTTAAATGAAACTGGTGTCCATATTTAATGTACCAGTATCAAGATAGTAGGATATCACTGAGATGAGATTTCTATAGCCTTTTTAGGTAACAACTAGAATTTTAGGATGCTATGCACCCTATTGTACCTTAATTGCTATTGAATCAACTGCCTACATTTCACAGAGGCCAAGGTGGGGTAAGTCTCTTTGAGACAGTGCATACAAGACAGTGGTTCCTGTATAGTGGCTTTGAAACCAGAATGGAAGGAAGAGCTAAAGTCTCACTCCAGTGCTCATTAGATAAGAGCACTCTGATAAGGTGCACAACCTCGGTGTTTAGTTTCCTCATCAACAAATAACAAGCATCTACCTTAAAAGCTGATTGTAGAGAAAGAATGAGATCATCTGTGCAATTATCCTTATCTTGGCCTGG